AAACTATAATAAATTACCCCCCCAAGAAATCTGAATTATTTAACTGTTCTTATTTAAAAAGTGTAGATATCATTTCCTTCTTGCTGTGCTTTTTAGGGGGGGGGGTCATGCAAGAATTCCGTTGCTTTATTGTCTATTTTTCTATATACCTTTTGTTTTACTTTCATGTCTCTCCATAGAAAACTTTTATCTAAGAGGATTTAGCACCTGACCTTCATAGGCACTCAGGGACTTCAGTTGACTGAAGACAGAAACAAGTACTGAATCTCCTACCAAATAAAAGTTATCTAACAGCATCATTGCAGCAATGGCTATTTGTTCCTTTGCATCTTTCATTGTTCTAGAATCAGTAAAAGAGAGTTTTAAAACTCACCACATTTCTTAACACTAATGTTTTTTATAGCATAATTCAGAGAAAGACAGTTTTAGTTAATTATTTTAAGTGTTACCAATTTAATTTTGTAACAGAAACCATATGAACGCTATTGAACTTTAGATATGAGAAAGGACAATTGGATCTTCTTAGGCATTTTCAAAAACTGGATGCTATTAAGGTACAATAGTTAATTTAATGTGTCAAATGGATTGGATACAGGGTACCTAGGTATTTTGTTGAGTATTATTTCCAGGTGTTTTGTGGGGATGTTTCTGAATGAGAGTAAAATTTGCATCAGGAAAATGATTAACATAGCTTGCCTTTGCTAATATGGCTGGGGTTCATTGAAGGACGGTGTTTTGTGGGGATGTTTCTGAATGAGAGTAAAATTTGCATCAGGAAAATGATTAACATAGCTTGCCTTTGCTAATATGGCTGGGTTTCATTGAATCATTCAGGACCTAATTAGAAGAAAAAGCCAAATAAGATAGAATTATTTCTTCTGCTTGATTATTTTTAGGTAGACACTCAATCTTGTATTGCCTTTAGACTCTGAATATATATAGTGCATATGTTCTTAAATATGTATGGATGTATATTGTACATATATGACTTGAGAAATGCTAACCTCAGGTGTGAAGAAATGCAAAATTAGCACTGAAGCAAAGTAAGTTAGTCTGGGGAGTGACTCTGGACGAGGTGATGTGTGAAGTGATCAAGAGAGTTGTGTGTGAGTAAGTGTTGAGATTTTCCCACACAAGAAGAGGGGAGTATAAGCAGAGTTGTGTTTACCAGGGACAAATGGAGGGAACCAAGAAGGAGTTAGAATTTTTAATAGATATTTTTTCTTTTTCTAATTTAAATTAGAAACAAGCTTGTATTACTTGTCAATCCCAGTTCCCTCTCCCTCCCCTCCTCCCCTGCCCCCAACCAACCCCCTACCCCAATCCCTTTCTGCTCCATAGGGAGGGTGAGGCCTTCCATAGGGTGTCATCAGGGTCTGTCATATTGTTTGGGATAGGGCCTAGTCCCTCTCCATGTGTCTAGGCTGAGGGAGTATCCCTCTATGTGGAGTGGGCTGCCAAAGTCCATTTGTGCACTAGGGATAAATATTGATCTACTACCAGAGGCCCCATAGATTGCCCAGGCCTCCTCACTGACATCCACGTTCAGGGTGTCTGGATCAGTCCCGTGATGGTTTCCCAGCTATCATTCTAGGATCTATGAGCTCCCCTTTGTTCAGGTCAGCTATTTCTGTGGGTTTCCCCAGCCTGGTCTTGACCCTTTTGCTCATCACTCTTCCCTCTCTGCAACTGGATTCTAGAGTTCAGTTCTGTGTTTAGCTGTGGGTGACTGCTTCTGCTTCCATCAGCTACTGGATGAAGGCTCTAGGATGGCATATAAAGTAGTCATCAATCTCATTATTGGGGAAGAAAATTTAAGGTAGCCTCTCCACTATTGCTTAGATTGTTAGTTGGCATCATCCTTGTAGATCTCTGGACATTTCCCTAGTGCCAGATTTCTCTCTAAACCTAGAATGGCTCCCTCTCTTATGGTATCTCTCTCCCTGCTCTCCTCTATTCTTCCCAGGACTCAATCTTGTTGTTCTCTTATGTCCTCCCTTTCCCTCCTCTTCTCCCCTTCTCTTTCTCCTAACTCCCCCTCCCCTCCCCCCATGCTCCCAATTTGCTCAGGAGAGCTTGTCCCTTTCCCCTTCTCCCGGGGACCATGTATGTCTCTCTTAAGGTCCTCTTTGTTTCCTAGCTTCTCTGGCAGTGTGGATTGTAGGCTGGTAATCCTTTGTTCTATGTCTAAAATCCATATATGAGTGAGTACATACCATGTTTGTCTTTTTGTGACTGGGTTACCTCACTCAGGATGGTTTCCTCTAGTTCCATCCATTTGCCTTCGAGTTTCAAGATTGCATTGTTTTTTTTTTTCCTCTGAGTAGTACTCCATTGTGTAAATGTACCACATTTTCTCCATCCATTCTTCAGTTGAGGGCCAGGTTCTGTCTATTAGAAATAATGCTGCTATGAACATGGTCCTTGTCGTATGAATGTGCTTCTTTTGGGCATATGCCTAAGAGTGGAATATATAAATAGCAGAGATATTATTATATCATTTCATTAGCAATTAAATCCAACACCACCATTGGGATATACCTGACATCACAGCACTGGAGAGGTTAAAGCTGAAGGGTGATAAGTGTGACAGTGTGAGCTATATCATGCATTTGCGGATTTCCTATGTTACATAGGGCAACCCTGTTTCACAAAAACAAACACTGTAAAACAATATCAAAGTCAATATTTAAAAAGCAAACATTGGCAAGCTTAATTGAAATGTCGAAGCAATACGAAAGAATCAATAAAAACATGGGCAGTTCTGAACTTTGCTGAAAAAAATCAGGAGAACTCAAACAACTTTCCTTTTTCCTTTGCTATTTTGATAATGTTTTGGGGTAAAGAGAATAAAATATTAAAACATTCCAAATCAACTCTTTCCTGCAGTTTCCTGTTCTTCAGAATACACTGAAGCAGTCCTTTGACTTCCAAAAAGGCCACACCTTCTAAAAGTGCCACTCCCTTTTTGGGCCATTTTCTTCCAAACCACCATAGTGGACTTTTTCATAGTTACTGAACAGAATAAAGTCATAAGTCAAGGTGCTTACTAAATGCATTGGGGTGGGTATCAGATAGGCAGAGTGGAGCAAAGTTAGTTGTAGTTTAATTTTTTTAGTAAACAATAATTTTTAATTTTTGAAATTATAATTATGTAATTTCCTATCTCCAATCCTTCCTAGACATCCACTTTACTATCTGTCAAATATATGTCCTCTTTTTATTTTTGTTATGATATTGAAATGCCAAAACAATGTAAAATTATCAAGAAAAACACAGGCAGTGCTGCACTGAATGGAAATGTTAGAATACATGCTAGCTGGTAATATTCTTAGCTTTTGGTTTTGATATAACCTAGTGATTCTCTAAGAATACATTGCAGAGGTTTTATCTGCCAGTCAAAAGGATGTTAGGTTGGTGGGTGATGAATGATTATTATGGGGCTTACAGATATGATGATTTTGCAACATTCCAGCTTTGCAATCATGGGCTTCTAATCAGTCATTTAGCCATGAAGAGTCTTTAAGATGGGATAACTTTGGGGGAAGGGTGGGGAGCTTCAATTCATAAGAAGGCCAAGAGATGAGTGAAAATAATGATTCAAGTGAAGAGCACTCTTCAGAGGGTTCTCTATGTGGTATGGACAGTTTCAAATAGGGAATATTTTGTATTATTTGATGGTCCTTCTGTGTCTCCCCTGATGTGTCCCTAAGGAAGAACTTACTCTTTTCTCATGCTAGAATTTGCAATATGATCTTTACCTTTTCATTCTTATTATCCATGAGATAGAGTAGAAGAACTAGTAGATAAAGAAATAATAACATGACACATTGGATGATAATACTATAATATTTAATTTTACAGTTTGTATGTAAAAATATAAAGAATATCTTATGAGCTTTATGCCTATAATACTTATAAGTGCAAATGCCTTTTAATGTGTATCAAAGAGGAAAGAAAATTTGATATAACAGGTTGAGTTTTGTTGAAGACCTTTAATCTTCTTGAATTAAGACTAGCCTTTTATAAACATTGATGGGGTTCTTTAAAATATAGCTACCTGACCCATGCATGCTATCAGCCCTACTAAGTATGCACAGTCCTTTTACTTCCTTATAAAGATAGGAAAGGTACAGAGAAAAGTTGAATAGCTTGCCCAAAGTTGCCCAGGAGGTCAGCATAATGTTGGCAGTGGATACTGGATTATTGATAGTGAGTTCCTTCATCATCATCCTTGTGTGACTTTCATCTTCTGCCTTCTAATTGAGTAGCAGGCTCAGGTCACTGTTTGTATGTGTTTCCAGAGAATGCATGTCCACATCACTACTTTGTTCACTAAATTCACAATTCTGCTCTCAAATGAAGCTTGACTGATGCCATCCTTTATACCGTCCTTTCTCCTGTCTTTACTTACATGTTGCTAGATGAGGGTACTCAAGACCTTCAGACCTAACTGATAGGTTCTTCAGACCTATCTGCAAATCAACTCACTAGTGTGTCTCTATGAAACACACATAGTTCGGCTTTGCCGAACATTTGGAGACAATATAATTAGTGGTATTTTAGCAAAGCATACAGTTCTGTCTCTAACATATTTAAAAGTCATTCTTGTCACTCTAAGCAAATGGTTCCCCAGTGACTCTCTCCATGTCTTGATATTTTGCTGTAGTCACTTTCTCTCTGGGGACTTGTGGATGTTACACTTACCTGTGAAAATCTTACTTGTCAAACCAATTGAGCTGAGAATAGTCAAATGTACTTCTCATATATTTTTAATCATTTTAAGATTATTTCTAATACCTAGTGAAATATAACCACTGTCAGAATTGCTTACGGGTTAGTGACAAGGGGAAATTGCTCGCTCGTGTTCAGTATAGGCAAAGGTTTTTCAGTTCATTGGATACATGGTTTTGGAATTAGTTGATATGAAGGGTCTCTGGGATGACTGATGAGCATGTAAAGCCTCTGGCAGAGGAGACCATTAGCTCTCAGTGACAGGAATGGGGATGTGTAAAGACTTGACAAAACCAATGCAACATCACGTGACTGTGATTGCAGCATCCACTGAATGTGTGGTGACTCTGAGAGAGTACAGGAACAGAGAGCTTCAAGGTAGAGGGGGAAGAGTAGAAAAGAGACTGGGAGAATGACCTACGATCTACCCAGCGACCAGCACTGTGTCCTCCTGGGGAGTCTAGACTTTTAGATGCACCAGATCAGAGCTCCAAATGCTTGAGGAAAAGGAAGATTCATGAGCCACATCTAAGCTATGCCGATCATGAATGTTTTGATGTGACTCAAAACCATTAAAGTAAATTGTGGCCATTAGGGTTTAAGAGATTTGGCTACAGGCAGTTGAGACCTTTGTCAGTTTTAATGTTACATAATGTTTGGTCATATTTAGTACCATAAAACTATATTCTATAACATATATGGCAAATGTATTTAGAGACATTGTGAAAAATGGTTTTTTAGTGTACCCTGAAATGAGGGTGGCATTCCGTGCAACAAATGAGTGGTTTGGTACATGAAATTATATATGCCTACTGAAATTCTATTGATGAAACTTAACCATGTTTTTTTTTTTCCTTTGATACCCTTCCTAAAGCCCATAAGAGCTCTTGGAATAATTTAACAATGCTGAACATTACAATGGGTTTCATGCATTGAGGATAACTAAAGATTTTCCTAACTGTATTGTGACTTTTGAAAGTGTTCATGTAAGTTCTGTGTGGGTACAGGAGCAGTACACAGCTGCAGCTTCATCCAGAGAATGGTTTGGAGAACAGGCTTTATTGAACAAGACACAGGGGGAAGTGAGTTGGCTCTCAAGTTCCTGAAGTCTGGGTGGGTTAGGCTCAGAGACCACTGCTGTGAGGCTGCTGCTGGCTTCAAGGACACAATCTGGGTCTGTCTTTCATGTGGACTAGCATGTTTACATTGTGCAGAAGACAAATTCGTATGATAATTGAAAGAAAAATCCCAATTAAGTGAAACTGTAACAAATAAATATTTTTACTACAAAAAGCAAGGAGAGACAATATGTCTACATAAATATTTCTTGCAATGGTATTAGAGACCATTGCAAAAGTGGCTTAGGATGCTCCAGGGGTGATTCTCAAACAAACAAACAAACAAAAAAACAAAAAAACTCAGTGCCAAGTCATGGATCTTGGAAGAGAACCTACAGCCATCACTTCATTAAACCAACATAATCCCCAACTACAGTCTAGTGCAGTCCTCACCTCTGATCAAGGAAAGCTCTCTTTGCAACAGATGAAGACCATTACAGGAAAAAAGCAGGGTTGTGGAGACCAATTCCAAAAGATACATCTACAATACAATTCCTCCTACACCTTGTGGGATTAATGGTGGCATGGAAAGGCCAGAGCATCAGGGAGATGGCTATGTAGTTGTATCTTCTGGTAACATAATAAGCTACATCCACAGAATGTCACCAATTGCCCAAATGTGAGCTGAACACAAGTAAAAACTGACAGACCTGCCAAAGCAAACTTGAGATGAGTCGTGGAGGCCTCACCCCTACAGGAAAAACTATAGGCAATCAAAGAAAGCTTAAAGCACAAGAATTAGTCTTCTCCAGGGAAGAGCACACCCATGTGTTATCCAATACCTAATGGTCAGTTTTGAATGCGTATGTCTGAGGAACATTATATAGTTTGAGCAGTTCATATTTAAGATTACATATGTATATGCATATAACAATGAAAAAAGAGGCCAGGAATTTGAAAAGAACAACAAGGGGCATATCAGATGGTTTGGAGGGAGGGAAAAGGAAGGAAGAAATGAGAAACTGTATTACTATCTTAAAAATGAAAGGAGTCCAGCTTGGGCAATGCTGAGTAGCTGTGAAGGACTCAGTGGGGTCCTTAATTTTCCCACTGATGAGCATCTTCCCCAGTGATGCTGCCTACACTGTAATGGTTTTCTAATGAGAGCTAATGTCAATTTAAACACACACTTTAAGAAACAGTTTTCTTTTATTTCCGGTATATGGAATTTGTCACGTTAGCTACATAGTCATTGTGTTTGTGTTTGGGCTGCGTTCAGTGTGACAGTGAGGCACTGAGAACAGTCAGCAGTTTGTTTGTCTGCAATAGAATGGAGAGCAAAGTTCCTGGGCTGGTGATGAGGGCTTTGGGGAGCTGCATTTTTGTGTCTGTCAATTCATTCTCCATTCTTACACCGACACTGCAAACATTTTCTCCTTATTGTGCAAGGGAGCAGCAATGATAGCTTTCCACCCTTATTTTAAAACCCAATAAAAAGGATGACAGTTCCTTCAGAATTGAGACTTTTAAACAGAAAAAAACTGCATTTCATATGTTTGAATTCACAATTATTTAACATTTAGATTAATAAAAATCTAATATCTTAGTAGTATAGTTTTCAATTTATAGCTCAGGATGGTGAGATGCATTGGTGGGTAAGGCCACTTGATGCCAAGTCTGAACACCCTGAGTTAGCTCTCCAGAGCCCATGGGGCAGAAAAGAAGAATAGACTTCAGCAAGTCCTCCTCCGACCTCCAGATGTGGCCACTGCATATGCTTGTACATACCTAGGCACATGTACACACACAGACACCCACACCCACACACCATGTAATAAAACATTAAAAATAAAAGAAGATTTAGATTTCTAGCCCTCAGCCTATACCTTAATCGCATTCGTGTAACATGCTGTCCTTTATCCCTTTGACTGTGCTACTGATGGAGTACTTTGTGGGAACACGAAAGCAGAAATGCATTCTGTAGTGAAACAGACTCCTCCTGGTTTGATTGATTTTGTGCTTTATAACCCATTTCAGTTATCAGAAAGTATTGCAATTTTTCCTCCTGCTATTTGGAAAGAATGTAATGGTCTCACAGATTGCCTGGCTTCTGCAGGAGGTTCTCCTGTCAAGGCAGTCACAGTGTATTTATTAACCTGTCTGGAACTCAGTAGTGAATACTTTCAGTTCTTTCTTACTTGGTCTGCTACCCTGTAAGTTGGGAAGCACTCGGATAGACTCTCAGCAATGTGATGTAGCAGATGTGTGGGGTCACGGTCAAGATGTTTGAAAATCACTGGCTTCCAGATTGTAATTAGAGCACTTTCCAAGTTCCTTTGGCCAAGGCATGCGGGTCCTAGAGCTTATCAATACTGAAGGTCAGTGAATTAAGATGAATTTTCATTTGTACTTAGACTTTCATATGCCTTCTTGTACACTTTAACTCTCTACCCTTCATTACAGCCTAATAGGAAAAGATAGATGTGATATTTAACATTACCACGTAAAGAATTTTCCAATAACCGTGGCATAAACATGAGAAAGGAGTAAGAAATTATGATGCACATAGTAAAATGCTTTTGGGAAAAATACCAGCAGACTTCAGTAACACTAAGAAGTACATGTAAATTAGTGGCAATTTTTCAAATGGTAGATACGATTGATGATGCATATGTTCACCTAAAATAAATTTGATGATTAAGGAAATTAAATGGTGTAGAAACTGCCTTTTTGTGTATCCGTTGGATATTTAAGAAGAAAGATTGAGGTGAGTTCTTCCGTAGCAGGAGGGCATATGTCATTTTAGTTTACAGCAGTTTCTTTCCAGTTTAGAATGCAGCGTGTTGCACAGTGCCACCCCTTCCTAGAATCCATCTTTCATTTCAGATATGTTTTGAAGATCTCATAATGCACTTGAAATTTTCTTGATTATTTCAGGTTTATCAGGCATAGCTATAGTCCTGGAGTTAACTTGCACTGAAAAGCTTGGGAGAAACTAAGAGCAACTAGAATGTGAGTATCAGAGTGAGGGAAAGTTGGCCGAGTGAGAAGTGGCAGCACCTGAGGAGGTTAAAAAGGGCATTCACTGATGACAAACTAATTGATGGAAATAAAAACTAAAGGATGATACTCACGTGAAGAATAAGGCTTCTAAAGGGAGGGTGGTTTTGTAGAGTATCTCTGGCAAATGAGAAATACAGTCCAAACAGTTGCATCAGACTTAGGAATCGGTTAGGTCTTGGGTTAAAATGCAAGCCTCAGAGAAAAACTCCAACAAAGTCATACCTCCTCATCCTCAGAGTGTCACTCTCTTTGGGAACCATTTTCTTTCAAACAACCTCACACAGTTTTAAAAATCCAGTTTCATGTAACAATATCCTGTTGAGCCAAGAAATATTATTCATTTTGATAACTATACACCTCTAGGTTCACTAACACATTTTTACAATTGGGTATGAGGAAATGCAAAATCAAAAAAAAAATTCCATTGCAGCGTATCTGTTTTCTGCCTATCAAACATAATGATTACTCAATAAAGACTGCTTTTGCAGTTATTTGAGATGCTGGTTCAACTTAACTACCCATTTGCCATAAATATTAGTTTATTCCTTCAGGAAAAGCAAGTTACAGTGATTCAGATTTGTGATTTTCCAAAAAAACTTTTTATAAATGTAACCAATGAGTTTGTTACCTCCAGGGAATAGACTCACTGCATATTTTACTAATGATAGTTTTTTTCCGATGACATTTTATTACTGTCATGAAACAGTGAGATGACTAACATATAGAGGGGAGATTTATCATGGATTGCAGTTTGGGGAGTCCAAGTCCGTGGTCATTTCCCCCTCAGCCATGCTGCCCCCCCATCAACCATGCTACCCATCATCAGCCATGCTGCCCCATCAGCTGTGGCTCCCTGGTGTGTGCTGGTGCAGCTACAGCCCCACAACCGTCTTCCCTACACCATTCCTCATGAACTGGGGACTTCCAAAAGTTCCCTTTCCCAAAGAGGACATTAAGGTCACACTGGGAATCATGCCTTGGTTTATGTGCATGCGGGTTTTACCTGAACACAGATATGTTCAGGGTGTGCATGCAGTGCCCACAGAGACCATAAGCGGGCATTGAAACCCTGGAGTTCTGGACAGTTGTGAGCCATGTTGTGGGTGCTGGGAACCAAACCTTGATCCCCTGCAAGCACTCCTAACTGTTGAGTCAATTACCCAGCCCTGGAAAAACAGTTCAGTTCTTTTATACATTTACCTTTGGAAAGCTTTTACTCAAACCATGGTAATAACAGTTCAATTTTAAGATAAACTT